TTCTCGTACGGTGCCTGTGGCTCAGTGACTAGGACACCAGCCCCATATACCAAGGATGGCGGGTTCAAACCCAGCCCCAGCCAAAGTGCAACAAAAAAGTAGCCAGGCATTGTGACAGGCGCCTGTAGTCCCAGCTACTCGGGAGACTGAGACAAGAGATTGCCTAAGCCCAAGAGCTGGAGGTTGCTGTGCGCTGTGATACCACAACACTCTATCGAGGATGGCAAAGTGAAATTCTGTCTCTTAAAAAAAAAAAAAAAGTTTCTATTCTCTAAAAAGATTATATCACTTTATACCCTGAATGTGATAGTATCTAATTTACTGTCCCATAGAAATGTTTTCAGTAATAGCTAATCTAACATATTCAGGGGGAAGGAGCATTGTTCAGCCACGAACACACAGCATATCCATGGACTGTACATCGACCCAAGCTTCCCCTTACGAAGTAAGCTTCTGAACAGCCTGGGTCTGCAGGTGCTTCTGTTGAATAGCAGCCAGTTAGGCAACTATAGGCTAAATAAAACTTTTTGTGAATTCATACCGTATTTTAGTAGAAACTCTCATCATTTCTTCGTCAAAGTGTTTATTAAAGCTCAATGACCGATGGATAAACCCTTTATTCCATTTTTTTTTTCTTTCCATTCTGACATTTGAAATAAATGGATATTATGATTGGTAAAAACCACTAGCACAGTGAGTGTTTTCTATAAAATGTTCACAGCATTAGTTAGCTCTAACATATCCTAATACTATTTTTAAATACAAAACAAAGCTGTACTACATCTTAAAGAAAAAAAAAGAATACCTGCCTCGTCTTTTTAGAGAGTAGAAATAGAATTAATGTAATTGATCTTACCTAAGAATTAATCATTTCAAAAATGAATATAGTTCATTTAAGTTTCGTACCAGTTTTAAATTGATCCATAATCACATTTTTGTTGTCTATGTTGTAGGAACTTTATAGTGGTGGCAGAGACTGCAATATTCTTGCCTGGGTGCCATCCTTGTGTGAACCTGTTCCTGATGATGATGAGGTAAGTATTTGTACAAAGTGTACAGTGTCTTCTAAATCATGAGGAGTAAAGTTTTATTAATATGTGTTTATGGGAGAGACTTTTAAAGCAGTTCTTTTTATTTTTATGATTGTAAAGATAATTTGCCTATCATCACACATTGGGAAACTTTTGAAAAATATCAAAAGAACATAAAATGTCTTTAGTTGAATTAATCAACATTAACATTCTGATTTATTTCATTCTTGATTTTTCCTACGCATAGTTTTTAAAACATAATTAATGGGGTGGCACCTGTGGCTCAAAGGAGTAAGGCTCCAGCCCCATCTATCAAACCTGGTCCTGGCCAAAAACTGCAAAAAAAAAAAAAGAAAATTAATATCACATTAGGACATATAACTTGGTATCTTACTTTAGTAGTTAACATTGTACAATAGTCTTTTTCTATGTCATTAATAACCATATAAAATTATTTATGATGATATAATATTTTTTCATTTATATACCACAATTTAAATATTTACATTTTTGCAGACATTTCTATTGATTATTATAAACAACATCAAGGTAAATATCTGTTCTTAAATTTTTCATATTTCTCAATATTTCTTTGAATAGATTCCTAAAGGTAGAATTATCTCTTAAATGATCATATATGACATTTTTTAAGGTTTTTTGTTCACTGTCAAATTTTACCAATTTACCCTCTGACCAGCAATGCCAATTTCTATTTCAGAGTATAAATTAATATAAATTTGACAGTGTGACTAAAGAACCTTAAAAATGCAACAGGTAAACAAAGATGAGTAAGATACAGTCCACGGTCTTAATAGCCTTGTATTTTATTTATTTATTTTTTTACTTACATCAAGCAATAGAAAGATAAGGATTTTCTTTTTTTTTTT